TTAGCTTCTATTTAGAATGTATAACAATATTTGATACGGAACCATATAATTATTGTGCACATTGGCCTAATGGCAAGTCTTATTTCGAGAACTATCCATTATTCCGTCGAACCATGCATATCTTGAAAGAATGACAACCGATTAAAGAGACATTGAATTGATGTACTGAAATATATATGAAATATTTTGTGATATAAAAATAAGAAGATGTGGTATGATTGCCAATGATACAAGTCTCCACCGGAGACCAAATGACATAAAAGTTAACAACTATGGGTCACCGTACGGCCTTGAACAAAGAGCAAAACCCATATCGCAAAGTAAGCAACCGGACTTAGCATGATTTTCTCAACATTTCGAGCTTTTTGTTTTCTTTACACATTTGAGCTTAGTTATATAGGTAAATTTGATTCATGTAGCATATATTAACAACAATAGATTTGTATGACATATATACATACATAGACAATTCTAAATGACATAATATCTACGATGGAGATTGCCAATGTTGCCGTAGGAAGATGGAAATAGTGAATGAACTCGGTCAATTACGCTCGCTTTTCGTTATGACATGACTGAAAAATGATGAAAGTTCTTAAAACAGATTTTATTCCGTTTAGCAGTTTGCATGATAGTTGATTCATTAATATACCCAGTGAATAAAGTCCTAGTTTGTACAAGAACATACTCACATAAAGTAGCCATCAAAAATTCTACACAAGGAAAAACCAAAACATGATTACAAACACAAATAAACCCAAGACCGGACAAAAAGAAATAAATAAATGATAAAGAAGTTAACAAAACGACATTAAGGATACACCTCCACAATAAAAATGTCACAACGTGAACCAGTTAAACAGAATAACGAATAAATTTGTTCTATGACAGATGGGTTGCTATGAACCATATGAAAAATGTAAATACACTCAGGGCAATTGATAGCAATCCACAAACCATCATTCTACAACAAAAAGGTACATTCTGAAACTCCGGAAACGTTGTTATAACCTGGCCAAACCTACTTCACTGATGAAGGTAGAAAGCATAACTCGAAATAGTCTCGACGATTTGCAAACAAAACCTTTCCACTATCGTTTTCAATATAACGCCATTCACATCTTCAACATACAGTATCTGAACTTTCGTTTATATGCTCTTGCGTCTGTTTATTTCCCATTCATAATTAATAAATGGATGCATTCGGATTCGTTGTACAAAAACAGGTTAGCAACGGAGGGGCACAATTAGTTCCCATAGTGGTGTGAATTATTTGTCGGACATTCAACAACCAAAAATAACAAATATGTGGTAAATAAGACATGTTAGAAACTTAAGCATACTACTAAATTGTTAACCATCATGTTCACTGTAGGAAATTTTGTTCTTTACAACATACGTTGAAGCGTATTCTAGTACAACGTATGTGTGAACTTTGGTTTTATTTGTTTTTAAAGAGTTTCAATTTTGGTAACCTTCAATTTGTCATTATATATAGAATGCAGCTCAAAATATCAAGTATTGTAAAGTTTTCACTTCCATATTTCTGAATATCCGAAGGATTAACTTAGATATAGAAATATTATATAGTCACCTGAACTCCTCCCATCCACCATCCAGCAGCTACACTCATGCGTCAATGCTTAAGAGTCACGTCCGTTTGAAACGGGGAGCATTCATCAGTCAAATTTCCAATCCAGCATACCAGCTTACCAACTTAACAGAACTTACCTATTGATAATGTTCTTGTCCTTTTGTGCATGAAATGTTTTCCACTGGACGTTAAGCAAACATATCTTTTAGGTTTGGTTATTGCTACTCATGGAATACATTTCCTGGTAGCACAAATTTGTGGACAAATCCTTGTTTTTTGGCCCCTGATTCCTTAACAGTTAGGACAATAACCCCGAACATCAATCCATCCTTCCTTTTGTGGTATGGAAACTTGTGGTACAATGTCATAGAGATCCATAAACTTATTCTCAAGTTATTGTCTGGAAACCAAATGTTTTTCGGACGACGATGACGACAACACTGACAATGTCATAACATTATACGACCGCCAAAATTTTGCGGTCGTATAAAAAGGAGAAACATACCAAAGGGGCAATAAAATATGAAGTCCAAGATAGACTGAACTTACCATGGACAAACAAACAGCCATCAGTCCACAAAACACTAGAGAACAAACTTTAAGTTGAGGAACAAAAAACACACCAAAATATGGACATCAAATCAACTGATACATTCTTAATTTGCTGCGTTTGAAGTACTTTATTTGATTTACCTTGACACTGAAGACTTAGACCAAAAATGTGGAAATATCAAACTTCAAAATGATAATGCATGTATTTGGTTCGGATTAAGTAGTTCAATTTAAAACAAAAATTGTGTTTCCATATCATTTTCAATTGATGAATAAGATTTAAAATTTTATTTGAATATAAACATATAATAATCATTAACAAAATTTAATTAAATTCTGCTTATAAAGTATCAATATCTCTGTACCTGATTGAATAAAAATTCTGCTTATAAGGTATCAATATCTCTGTCCTTGATTTAATGAAATTCTGCTTAAAAAGTATCAATATCTCTGTACTCGATTGTCAAAGTATTACTTATAATGTAATATTTCATATGGTTTGATTTTTCTTGTTTCTCATTGGTTTATTTGGTCACGTGTTTCCCAATATATATTTTTATTTTCTCATCATTTTGCCATATTGACTAAATGTTACTATTTTTAAAATGATATTTAGTCCAAGTTACTAAAAATAGTTATATCGAGTAAAAATCATTTCCAAAAATAGTAACATTGGGTCAATATCATTTTCAAACTCACACTATTTACATATGTAATATATAAATTAAGGACTTTCACTCAGTCAATACGTTATATATGGACTTGTAAGATTAAATTTAACCTCATACTTCGTCCTCGGTCAATATAATCGGAACAGGTCCATATATTACGTATTGACCTCGTCAAAAGTCTATAATTGATAATTATCGCATCTTATCCATGCAGTTATCTCAAAAATTCATGCAAAATCTATTTCAGATATGATATATGCAAAACTATTTTTGCACAAGACAAATGAATTCTTAAGTAATAACAATCAACATAGTGAAACTTACATGAAAATAAAAAAAAAATTAAACAATGGTATATATAATAATACATACAAATTTTCAGAATCAATCAAAATAATCTTGCACATACAAAGAATTACATATTCTTCATATTAGACTAGGATCCATATCCCATTTCCTTAAATATTAGTCTTGGTTCTCATCTCAATGTAGCCCATTTACACTGTCAGGACATAAGGCAATCAATCAATCAATCAATCAATCAATCAATCAATCAATCAATAAAGATTTATATCTCGAATTGGCAACAATGATATTTGACAAACTTAAAAGGTAGCTTATATTTATAAATCCTGACATTTTCTACAAGATTCTCAAGAATTAGTCAAAGCAAACCTAATTCATTATGGCATGCTTATAGATGATAGAAAAAATGGCATATCATAATGTTTAACATAATGCCAATTTCTTGGATAATCAATTTTTTTCAATACAGGTAAATGAGAATGTGTTATTTTGGAAACTTTTAATTTGCCAGACCCTTCTTGGCAATAAAGTGGTATTTAAAAGGGTTGTACTGAAAACACTTATTTATATTCTAGGACTTAAAAGAAACTGACCTTATTTTGAGACAGAAAAATCACTTTTAATCTGTTATGTCAAAAGATTATAAGGGGGTGCAAAAAAAGTACATTCAAAAGATGAATATTTGATTTGTTGATCTTTGTCATCTTAAACCTTCTCCTTGTTTTTGAATACTATCAAAACGAATAATTCTTTTATTTTAGTAATTTCCATTTAAAATTCCATCAGCAGCAATCAACAGTATAAAATTTCTAGATTTATTAAGTTTCTGCATACTTTTAAATAAACCACACTAATAGAAATATATATTTTTTTATGTATAAACAAGTCTAAATTGAAAACAACGTTCAAACCTATGATTGCGTCGGATAAAAACTGCAAAACAATATTTCTTGGTAGAAGGGTCTAAATACAGCACAAACAACATTTTCTAAAAGACCAAAAAAGTGAAAAAGTATATTTTAACAAAACGCATTTGACTAGCAGGTCGAACAATGGATGTTCTTAAACCTTGATGACTCCCATTGGCGATTGCCAAATAAACGGATCACCAGATGTAACAAAATGGATCTTAACCATTAATTTAATACCAAACAGAAAACAATAAACTTGCGCAAAAGATGGTTTACAGCAAACAAAAGGTGCAAACATTAGTACACCATATCCGGATTTCGACTATTAATGTCTCTTCAGTGATGTTAGGAATCGAAACGGTATTTGAAAGGCCATATAATTTACCTCAATTTAGGATAGACTCTTAAATTTTGAAGAGTCGAAATAGGATGAACGGATCATATAAACCCGGAGGCAAATATAATACAAGCCCAAACGAAAAAATATAAACAAGTCTAAATTGAAAACAACGTTCAAACCTATGATTGCGTTGGATAAAAACCGCAATTTTTATACGTGTGCATGCAAAACAAATTTCTTCGTAGAGGGGTCTTAATACAGCACAAACAACATTTTCCAAAAGACCAAAAATGTGAAAAAGTATATTTTAACAAAACGCATTTCATATTTTTTATGTATGATATTTTTTTTAACACATAAAACCTCAAACCTAATGCAATGTGTTCATTATCTTTACCCTCAACTTATGGCAGTACATTCTTTTAACTTTATAAATTATGCATTGATGCCAGGCATTTGAAATGAAATTGCTACAAAAAAGCCTTGATAAAGACATTGCAAAGGCCCAAGCAATACAGACAATAAAACATTTATCTTTATGTAAAAAAATCATTAAAAAATTATCACAGTGATCATCAAATAATCATATTTTATTATAATACCGGTGTCTATTATTTTCAATAAATCTATATTGATAAGTCATCCAAATCTTTCCATAAAACCACAGGTTCTGGATGTTTTCTCTGCCTTAAATAGGAATCCATCTTTCCATCAAATAAACCAAAAATTCCACCTGTAACAGAATTTTTGTCAAAACCTTGACATGTTATCGTAGTAAATTAGAAAATAAAACCAAATAAAGTCATAACGGTTTATTTCTGCTATTCCTACATTTTAAAATCTGGTATGTCATTTGTAAGAAATCCATGTAGGAATAGAAGGAATGCTTGAATAAACAATGGATTAAATCAGATTAAAAACTTCTTGAGTTTTCATCAATGTCCAATTCGAAAATATTAATAGTAGAAAATGTTAAAAAAAAGTTCTAACAAATGCATGTTCATGTCTCATTTTTCAAACCTGTTGTGTTTATTTCCTGGTGTAATGAAACGTCTTTGTCATTGAGTGATTCCAATAAAAATAAATCAAAACGAATTTGTCCCTAAAAAATAGTTTGCTAACACAATTTAAGCACTACAATAAAAAATATTATACTTCACATGAAAGAAAAATTACTAGACAAATATGATAGGTTTAGATATGAGAATTTATCATTAAATCGTATGCATATAAAACAAGAATTTAAGTTCTACACAAAGCTTGTTACATGAACCATTAGAAAATTAACAAAATACTGAATATATCAGAATTTATCACAAAATCAGTCTATATAAAGTCATTGTGATCTGTGACTAATACATGAATTCGTCCTATCTATACTTATACCTTATACTTTTTTTGTAACATTTATCCCTGATTAAAGGCTATCTAATAAGATGAAGGTTCAGATTTTAAACTATAAGTGTGATATGTAGATTTAAATTTGAATTTTTCATTTCTGTATTAAGGATGTTCGCTACTCTGTTTCAAAATAACAAGCTTTTTAAAAGATTGTTATAAATTGATAGTATATAAATAAAGGAACTTAATAAGCAGAAAAAAATTACGGGTCCGTTTTCAAGATATAAGCCATTTAAAATTTGACGGGAAATAATTCTCTCTAGATTTTTCATACATTTAACATTGGTACCATTTTTCTTTCAAAAACTATGAAAAAATAACAAGGATTTTATAAGATTTTCAAATATGGCTTTTGAAACTATATGTAATAAGATTATGAAAGGAAAAGTAGGGGTTAGCGGGCAACATTTTTTAATGGCACTACATGGATAAAACCAGAGGATTTCGAAAATCTGGCAAAAATTCAAAAACAAGTGGAGCAAACTTCCTTAAGCCTTTTCTTCTTCGTTACTTTTCATATTTGAGATATTCGGAATATCCTTTTATATAAATTCAAAGTAAATTTCCTTATCTAATTTTCTATATCATATTTTTATCTTTATAATCATAATTCTTCATAAGTAAAAAAGGGTGTTTTTTCTTGCACTTATTCACCTGTACATCAGTTAAATCTAAATTGCTAAAACGACAAATTACCTTATAACAACAGCTATTGTACTTTGTTGGTAGGAATAGAAAGAGTATGTTTTATTTTCAAAATGTAGGAATAGCAGGACAGCATCATAACATTTACACTTCTAAATGAATCAATACAACTATAATTTATATAAAAATAGGAAACTTATAATTAAAATGGCAGTCTTTTATAATAACATAAAATTAAGTTTGATATTACAAATCGAGTCAACAATAATGTGAGGAATGTGAGAACTCTGATAGAATTCTAGAAAATTGTAGGGGTAAAATATCAACAGAAATGCCATATACTGGGTATTAGAAAAAAATCTCAACATAAAAAGTATCGAAGGACAATTAAATATAAGATAACGGTCATTATGTCTGATTATATTACAGCAGTGAAATATCAATGATATAAATGTACCATAATCAGTTTCAGAGGAATATATGCAGCACTAAAACCAGTGTCACAATAAAAATATATATGTCATAAAACTATATGTTTAAAAAAAAATGTATTATACTATACAAGAGAATGGAAGTGATTATATAATACTGATTTACCACAATATTTATTTTGGAAATGTCTCATTAACTGTATACCAAATCGGAGATATTTAAATCAAAAAAATATTAGGAAACTAAGGTTCGAACTCCCTCAGGCAAAGTTCATCTTAGATGGCTTTTGCAAATCTTTTAAGGTTCATTTTGGCCATGTAGCTCCTAACTTTTCTACATATTTTTACATAGTATTCAAGCATTTAGGTTTGAACGTTCTTGATGAAGGTAAATCTGGAAAGGCATTTTAGACACCCCAAATTTATAAAGAGTTATTTTCATATGCCACAGCGTAATACATATAGAATACTGGCATTTTAGTTTTTGATACTGACTTTATCAGCAAGAATATCAAGCGAGCCCATAAGGGCGAGCTGATATTCGTTGTGGGCGAGCTGATATTCGTGCTAATGAAGTGAGTATCAAAATATAAAATGCCAGCATTCTTTTTATTGACAATTTGCCTAAAAATATGGTTTTTTTTTTGGATGAGACTATGACATAAAACGAAATAGTTAGTAAAAGTAAAGCTATTTACGCATACAAAATGTTTAGATAGCGGTTTCGTTTATATGAATGAATTCGCGTGTATTTCATTGATAAATTGACGCGGATGGACATAAACATGTGACGTTGCTGCACTGATACATGACGTCATTGCCGAATATTTTAGAGTATCAAGTCCATGATCTAATAAAATATTAACAGTAGGATCAAAGAGAAAATGTACAAATTTCCAATAAAGTTAAATAAGAGGCTGAAGATCTAATGTAATAACGAATACACTAACAATCAACTTCTATCATATAGCCTTATAAATGTATATATTTTCTATACATAACCACATGATAAATTTTATTAATTTCAAAAATATGTCAGTTCAAATATGCCAGTCAGGAAGTTGTCCTCTGTAATATCTAAATGTTTGTTATTATTTGTGGAAATTGGTGTCATGTATTTACCTGTATGTATAAATAAAATTCTGTTTCCTTGGAACCTATCTGGATTTGATGTTAGTTCTTGCACTAGCCCATTTGCTGCTTTACCAGTATAACAAGGATCTAATATAATTCCAGTATTTTCACTCACTGACTGAATAAATTCTGAAAAAGACAATTTTACTATAAAATAAATGACCAGAGAAACAGAGGCTGTTTTGGCAAGGACTTGCAATGAAAATCACATTTCATGGTTTGTAAAAAATCATATTCTGAGGCTATCTGTAATTCATCTATTTTTTCCAGATCAATGATTAAATTTAAATACAAGTAGGACCTTGCATTTTTCATAATAAATATAACAAGTAAACCTTTGCTGAATTCTCCAAATTTTGAAAATGCAAAAGCAAAACAAACTCACAAAATCAGGCCACACTTAAAAATATTTTGGTTTGCCCAAACGCTACCCAGAGGTAGAGACAGTGGGTAGGTAGGTAGGCATTTTCTTTTTTTTCGGCAAAGAGAAATTGAAGTGTCAGATGTTTTTTAGTCTTCATGCCTATCTGATTAAAAAAAATATTTCACATCAGGACAATAAAAGATTTTGAGTAGGCAGGTATTTTCTGGGTAGGTAGGGTTAGGGCAAACACACATATTCTTTTTTATGGCCTCATAAACAAAACAAAATTAGTAGGTGGGTTTTCAATGGAAGGAGAGAGCCAAGAAAAACGATGTTTTACTCGCTACAAAACCATTTACCCCAAATTAAACAGATAACAGACAAGGAAATCCACAATTGATAATATATCGCTTGGTGGTAAGTGGTGAATATTGGCCCTGAGTTTCAGTATTACAATCTAAATTATAAACTTAAAATTTCATAAGACACAAAAAGAAATAAAAAAAAAGAAATAAAGAACTGTATCATTTTAGAAAGAAAGCAAAGAATAATAATACAAGTTGAATTTAAAGGAATCTCTTATGGGCATGGTAAAACTTCACCTCTACATCTTTACTCTGCCCTGTACGTCGTTCACTGTATAAATGAAATGAAAGTAAAATCATAGACATTTGTAAGCTCTAACTGCATACTGGAGTAAGAAACCATACAACGATACGTGTACATAATTTCTGATAACAGATTATTGACAAGTTGCAGTTACATTGACTTTTTGTCTTAGTTCACTATTCATGTTAAAAAGTTAAGCTATTCACCATTATTCTTAGCAATAAGAAGAATTTTTAAATGGTACATATCCTTTGATATTTTGTTTGTATAACAAAACTATTCTAATCTTTAAAAAAAAGAAGATTAAAAGGATAATCCCCCCCCCCCCCAGAACAAAAAAATTCTTAATTCCCCCTCCCCAAAACATTAGTAAAGTTGCCTTTTTAATTCCTAACTATAAAGTTTAACATGAAATGAAACGGTTAAATTTGGTTCTTTGTTTTAATTATGAAAAAAGAATTCTCATTACTGCAATAAGCATCGATATGGTTTGACACGAATCAAAATTTGGGATGTATGAATACAAAAACTTGAGTATGTTTCCAAATATTAGAAATGTGTTCAAAAAGAGTTAGCTTCAGTGCACAGTTTTAAGACTGTTGATTTTCTTCCTTATGCAATATAAACAAATGTTTTGCACTTTTTATCAGTATATTTCAATCTACTTTTTGATATAAACAAAAGGAGGGATTTATCTAAGTAAAACAAGAGTTTTAAACTTAAGTTTCTCTCTTTATACTATTGAAATGTGCTATAAATAGATATAGCTTCTATAAAAATTTCAGTACTTGATTGCACTGAAAATAAGTGTTTCGCACTTTTTATCAGTAAATTTCAATCTCCTTTTTAAATATGAACAAAAGGAGGGATTTATCTTAGAACAAGAGTTTTAAATTTCCTTTCAACAGAACATTTTCTCTATACTTTCTTAATGTTTCACAAATTGAGAAAAACTCAAGAGTTTAAAAGTTTCAGTACTGTTGATTTTACTTCCTTATGTACTGTTAACTATCCATCTTTTTTTAATATGAATTATAGAACATGCAAGAATTGTAAATTTTCTTCTAAACAGGACACTGTTCTCTATACTTTTGAAATAATGTTGTCTATAGCCATCACGGATGACAGATAGGAAAATTAATCAAACAAAATTATATTGGTTCATGTTCATCTTCAAAAAATCTCAGAGAAGTTGAGCATACCTGGTGAAGGAACACATATCCTTAGTATTGTGCACAGTGAAATTGGAACATCGAAGGTTTATATTAAGAATTATATATCCCTACTACAAAGTAATATAATAGGTGACTATTCTTATCTAACTAAACTTAATTCTAGCTTAAAAATATAATGCAAATGACAATTTAATCAGCACAAAAGCAGGTTACTGAACTGGTTTCAATTTGTTCTATTTTATTTAGGTACAAAGGCATTTGACACTAAAAATATGACTACAAACTACAAATATGTCTTACAGTTTAAATATAAATTTTACCAACAAACCTTGTTCTTCAGGAGTAGATAAGCCATACCCACGTCCTTTATAACCATCAACAATATCTATTATGTCATCAGCACAAACCGAATCACCAAGTCCGACTTCTTTTATTGAGTCGTTGATGTGTTCCATAAATGATTGCTTGTTATCACCAATAGCTATTGCATGGATTCTGTATTTAAAATAAGTTTTGGTAACTAAAGATGTATATATATATAGATAATAAGTAGAAACTTGATTTTTGTATTTTAATATATGTATATTTATATTCATCCTTATTGTTGAAGAAACACTATGATTATCCTTCGAAATTTAATGTAAAGGCTTGATAAAGAGTTTATTGTTGAAAAGAGTATTTTACCATAGGATGTCTACACTTAATGTAACCAAGAAAATTATCTCGCTGATGTAAACCGTGCATCTCCTAAGATAATCCAAAATTGTGTTTAGTGTACGTGTATCCTTGTTTAGTTTTTTAACGTTAAATAGTTTTAAGCCATAATTAAATAAAAGAACCAGTGCTAATAAAACTATTTATTAAAATATAATTCTAAGACTAAAAAGAAATCAGCTGCATACACATAATAAACAATAAAGAGTTATCCCCCTTTTGACATACAAATGAAAATTAATATACACAAAACTTGGGGGATAAGATAAAAATTGTGAATAAAAGTATACAATTTTATCGAAAAGTCCAAATACAGATGCATATCAGCTGTAGTCCCAAGTTAATTTCTCCTTTTATTGCTAGTACAAATAAATTATGACACTTGAATTGATGAAACAAGCTGATTTTGAGCTTGTTTAATTACTCGGACTGGTGTGGATATACCGAGTATAACAATCAGATGACCACCTGCCTAATTTTTTTATTAAGTGGTCCTCAAGTCGAACTTCTTGTGCAGTTGTGGCTGCTCCAATTCTGAAAGAATGACCATTATATTTTTTGCTTTGTAGACCTAAGCTGTCTTTGATAATTTTAACATGTTTGATAATGAAGTTTTTACTTAAAGGATTGCCATCATCAGAGACAAAGAGAGCATCGGATGTAATATTTGGTGTTTTTTTTCGTAAAGACAAGTAGCTTTTTTAAGCGATATAAAGACAAATAATGTGACCACTTTTGTAAAAGGGTATAGTATCACCTTGTCTAAACTGATCTATTTTAGATTTTTTTCAGATGAAACAAAATATGTTCTTCAAACATCTCTACATCACTAACGCACAAATGTGTTTCTGATTCAAAATGGCTAAGAACTGTAAACTCTCCACATCGCAAAAATGCAAAAAAGGCTACAACACGTGCTGCCTCTAACATAACATTGTTAAAAAGGCTGAAAATATTGCTTCTTAATGACATTACAATTTTTTACAATATAGACATAGTAATTGGCAATCTAGATCTTTTAACACAAACTTTCTGCTTCTTTTTTAAACCATTTAAAATAGTTTGCAGGCATAATAAAGGCTTTCCATATTGTTCTCAAGGGCTAAAACCTGCGTATTATAGGTTAAAATACCTTATACCACACAAATAAAGCTTAATAGTTCTGTGTTTTAAACTTTTATGTTCATCACAAAAGGCAACAAATAGCATTAACAACTTTTCTGAAACCAGCAGCATTTCATTTGTAGTCCAAAAGGTTCCTTGCAATAAGGAAAACTTTTTATAGATCATAACCTATTGTATAATGCGATTTTGTACTATCGGCTAATGCATATTTCCATAAAGTATAAAGTAATGAGCTGTCAAAAGAATGTCTGAAAGCTGTGGGCAAGGAGTGTCTGTTACTTCAGCTAATGGTGATAACAGTCTGAACTTGCTCATCTGAAAACGAGATAAGGCATCAGCAATAACATTAGATTTCCCTGGTAAATGTTCACACAGAAAAGATATTAGTTGCTGCACACATAGTAAGTTTTCTTATAAGTTTTATAATGTTTGTTTCCTTTGATCTGCCTTTTGCAATAATGTGAACCGTTGCTAAATTGTCACAATAAAACAGGATCCTTTTACCACACCACTCCTTATCCCATAGAACAGTCGCGACCACTATAGGTTAAAGTTCCAAAAAGGCCATTGAGACAGCAAAGTCTGACATGCATGGTAAATTTTCAGGCCAACGGTCACAAAACCATTTATGCTGATAATATCCACCAAATCCCATAGATGAGGAGGAATCTGTATAAAGCATCACATCTGTATAAAGCATCATATCTGCGACTTTAGTTAAAGTCTTTTCATAAAATAAATTGATGCCATTCCAATTTTGAAAACAATTTAACCACGTATTTCATCAGCTTTGTACTCCTTGTTCAAATGGACATGATGAAAACTCTCTTTAACAGATGACATTAACCTGTACAAATAACTAACAAAAGAGCGTCCTGTAAGAATTACTCTAGTTGCAAAATTTAATGTCCTAACAACTTTTCGAGTTCTTTTCTAGTGCATGACTTTTTACTGAAAATTAAACTTATAAAGTCTGTAATCCTTATCAGTTTATATTTATTATCTTGAGGCAATCTAGCTTGCATATTGACAGTATCTAATACAATGCCTTAATATTCTAATTCACAAGTAGGACCAACTGACTTTTTCTTAGATAGAGGAATATTCAATTTGTTAAAAATTAAAGAAAGTAAAGCCATTGTTCTTTCTCCACAATCAGTTGGCCTATCAATTGTTAAAAAATCGTCTAAAAGGTAAAAAATTACATTAATGTTATCCAGCTATCCAACAAATACTACTTGACAACATATCTAATAACTTGGGACTCGATGCACAACCAAAAGGAAGTATGACATAGTGATAATAAAAATTGTCCCTTTTAAAACAAAATAAATGCCATTGTGTAGGTGATATAGGCAATTGTTTGAACGCGTCGGAAACATAGACTGTTTAAACCATATTCTTGAATTACCGTACTGCAATTCCATCATCAATTTTAATGTAACTAAGTGAACATAAATCTTTGCTTATCATATTGTTAACACTTTCATGATCACAGCTATTGTGTGGCGAGGAAAGATCCAAGATGAGTCTTTTCTTAAAAAAGTATTTATGTACTGCAACACCGATAGGGCTAACTCTATAAACAGGGAAAGGGGGGTGTAAAAAAGTTCCCTGAATAAATCCTTTTTCTAATTCGTTGTTAACTAGAGTTGTGACTGAATCTGGATCTCTCCTGGCTGACAATGCATTTTTACTTTCAAAACTTGAAATATTAATATCAGACACTAACATATCAATACCATATCTTATACTATTACAATGTAAATTGACAAAAATTCTATCAGGGTGATTTCTTAATTCAAATTCTAACTGAACACACTTAATAGATTAAGAAGCTGTATTGCCATGGTTGTGTTAGTCATTTCTTTCACCATTTTACTACCGCTAACTTTGTTTTGATTATTAGGTTGTTGACCTCCTTTGTAGCTTTGACAAGTAACTTTGCCATGAGTTTTACTCTTACAAATTTTACAAGCAAGTTCATATTTACAATAAGATTTAGTGCAACCTTTAAACCAATTAAAATTGTAACACAAAGGTAAACCATCTACATAATTTCAATAGTGAGAAAATCCAATAAAATTATACTTTATGAATAAATCATGACTACATATGCATAGCTTATAAATCTGAAAGCATCAATGACGTATCTCTAATTCTAAGTTGAAAACGAGGCTAACATGATAAAAGAGACACAATAGGGAAAACCCCATTACTACTTTAAATGAACAATCCTTTATATCAACATCAATTATCATAATAATTGTTAACTGACGGAATTTAAAAACGCAACACACATTTTGGTGATTTTTTTTACCAAATCATGATTGATCTTCATACAACTACTACTCATGCTTACCACACTTCTTTCTGTTAAGAAAAATTCAATACCTGACTTAGCTGAGGTTATTGAACATACCAGATTATTGAAGTCGCACGAATTTCTTAAAGCGAAATTTGAAACCCATAAATGATTGTTTTTTAAGTTTTTTCTTTGTGAAACAATTCTTTTAATCCATACCCACACTTAAATCAGTAAAAAAATGATGCATCTCCATATTGCCGAGACTAAGCAATGAAAATCTGAATCTGGCCATAAGAATATTGCAGGCAGGAATATGTGAACGTGCTGTTGCCAGACAATATCACGTCAGAAAGTCGTCTAACTGTCCTTACAACAACGGTACAGGCAGACAGGATTGTTGATGATCATCCATGACCAGATCAATATGTAGTGTCAAGGCCACGTCAATATAATTTGATTACGCAACGTCATTTACGAAATATGTTTACGGCCACAACGTCAACAGCTAATGAAGTCGCTGAATGCCATGGCAGACAGATTAAATCCATAAATGTTTCCCCTATACTGAAATGCCAAAGAATCGACTGCAGAAAAACATTTAGGGCATAAGGTTTTAACCGCAATATTGCCAAAACACACTGTAATGGGTGGGACAGAGGCAAAATCAGAAGGTACAAAACAGAACTCAAAACATGCCCAACAGAATTGGTTGACCTTTCTGACAATCATTTTGGCGTTGGTTACGGGTAGTCGTTGCCTTCGACGATGACACGTACATTGATAAGAGGAAAACCAGGGTTTCAGTACATACCACATGATGTGAATAGTAAAAATGATGTAATCAATTCAACTTTCGAACTGGAAACTTATTTTAGAAAATGAAGTAATGAATAAATTGTATATTTATACATTTATTTTACAAAAATTGAATGTTTGAAAATGGGAATTAAAAAGAATAATCGAGTTTTCCGTTTTTCAAGTCTGTCAGTATATATTTCAGGGTCTTTATACAGCAAGGTAAATAAAAATAATTTCATTCACCTACATGTCAAATTCATTATGACATGATTACTTATCTGGTAGCTTTTTAATACTTGAAAGTGAAAAATATTTACGAGAAACTAATACTATTTGCTCCTGACTTCTACTTTTTTTCCTTTTTTGATAGCTAGTTTTTTTATTTTTCATGCTCGTAATGCTGGAATGATGGAAATCTAAAGCTTAACTATCTTGAGTGGAGAAATATCTTGACCCACTTGCAACAGCAGGAGAGTCTATATATAAAAGCAGAAACAGGGATGATTTTCT